TTGACCTCCCAGAAGAGGTTTCTGGCAGTTCCTTCATTGATTCATCTGTGCCATTCTCTTTACTACCTTTGAGGATGTTCTGATTGGCTACCTTGAGTAATAGAGGCGCTTTAGGATGTGGCATTCCTTGTTGCTGCCTCATCATCCGTCCGTAGTTTCGTTGGAAACGCCTTTGTTGGGTCTTAGTCATCTCATCGAAAGGTATTGCCCTTCCTGCGCTGTATTGGAATGAATGCCATACATTTGGCCGACGAGGTTGCGGCCTGAATGTTCTTCCAGTATCTGCTGGTCTGAACTGCCTTTCGAAAGGTGGTCCTCTATAAAATGATGTACCTCGCCCTCTGCCAGGCTGAATATTTGGGAAGAAGGCAGGGCGATGAGGATACTGCCACGTCCCTGGTTTCTCCGTGTCTCCATTTACTTCCCTTTTACACCTTGCACACAGGACGTTTTCGTCCTTTTTTGGTTCTTTTCCTTTGATTCGTTCGAAGACACTGGGATGTATTTTAGTGTCTTCTTCTCCATCGTCTATGATCAACTTGAATTTTGGCAACTTGTTCTTGAACCCAGACGTTACCATATTTACCCCAAGTGGCTGTGGGAAAGGATTCTCGTCCACTGCCATCTTTTTCTTATCGTCGAACGTAATTCGTCATGATTCAATAGCATCCTGCAATACGTGACGGAAAACCAAGTAATTGTTAGTTAAATGTGACCATGCATTATGCTACTTACAATATTTTTTACCCTTTATTTGTTCAGAGTTTGGCAATTTGTGCTTATCGCTCAGCTTTATTTGCTTATCCCTATATAATTTATCGAATATAAGGTCAACTTTGGTCACATCGAACGAGAACGTTCTAGCCTTTATGTTTCCATCCTTTATGGGCTCATCTTTGCCCGATGGTCTAGGCTTGGCCATTATGGGACAAGTATAGGTATCCCCTTTTACTAATTCGGCCAAACACATTTCGACCTGATCGTATGATTCGTCATCGATGGTATGAACGTCAAAATTTGGGTCTCTGTAATAAGTCCCTTTACTAGAATTTTTCATTTGTTCTTCTTCTCTTATCAGTCGCTCATACCTAATCACATTCGCACTCAACTGGAAAAGGTCTGGAAATTTCTTGTCCTGGACCTTCTTTTTTAAATCAAAGCTCAAGCAGCCTTGTGCGATATTGACAAATTCTTTTTTGGGCAGAGGTACAAAACACTTGCTTCTTGCTGTTTTGAACCTTTGGAGAAAACTTTCTGCCCATTCATTTGACATTTGACGTAGATTCGCCAAATCAGCCAAAGTGACTTCAGATTCAATTTTATAAAACTGAGCATGAAACAACTGTTCCAGTTGTTGCCATGTTTGAACAGAGTTCGCTGGCAAGTTGATGAACCAGGAGAAAGCTACCCCTATTAACGAACTAGGGAAAAGTCTCATTTTATGGTAATCGGTTACATCACCACTTTGCAATGTGAATCGCCCCTATGTGTTCTAGAGTAGACACCTCTCCTAAACCAGTAAACAGTGAGAATTCTGGCACTTTATACCCTCTAGGCCATGGATATGCTTGGTCTACCCAATCGGGATATGGTTTTGTGTATGTCGGCCTAATGACAGGACGCACCCTAAAGGCCATCTGATTCTGCACGATTTCTATGATCTGGTTCCTCAACATGACATTGGGATCATATGGAATTCCTACAGGCTGGTTAACCGGTTGATTTGCATGAGGTCTAATGTTTGGTCCTTAATTGGCAACAAAATTACCATAATTAGGTCCAGTACCGTTAGCCTGGACATCTGTTCCCTCATTACCACGTGGAATATTCTGTCCATTATTTAGGACATTATCTCTCACGTTTGAATTACCCCCCAAGTTAGGCATGCCACTACCATTATTTTGATTTGGCACTGTAGTACCTCCTTAGTTTGAAGTAGAGGGACCAGAAAGCGACTCCACCCCTTGATTCGGATTTAGGACAGAGGGATTATGTCCCACAATTGTCCTAGTTTGAAAGTGGTTTGTAAGAGGTATAGTCGGTTGACATATCTAGCCTACTAACTTATTCATTGTTTCGTTTAACGTCTTTAGCTGTTTGGCCATATTGTCATAGTGTGCGTTTCCATTTTGTGTAAATCTTTCCATATTATGAATATTTCGAAGATTTACCTGTTCAACGACGTCTTGCGTGAGTTCTCCAAGCAATGCACGCATGGTTCGAGGACTTAACTCCGTCATTGGTTCGTAACGACTGTTACTGCTCTGATTTTGTCCATCTGTTCGTGGAGAGGCATGCTGCTCCTCATATCGCCCGATTACAGACTGGATTCCTCCCTGACTTGCTCCTTCCTTGTCGGATCTCTGAGGCATATTGTTTCACCTTTTGTATTTTCAACACCTAACACCACTGTCCCACCGGGCGTGCCAAATTGTTTCGCGCGGGTTAAATCGCTAACAATTAAAAAGGGTCAGACGATTGTGTAAGGGACGAAACCTCTTGAGACAAAGTCCCAAAAAGGGGTGTTCTTTTATTGGTGATGGACTTTACAATTGGGAATGAAAAACAACGTGCCTCCAAGGGGCGCAAGCACACGAGTTACAGAAAAATGTTTAAGTCTAAAAGCTAAGGAAATGAAAATTACATATTCTCTGTTCGAGAGTTTTTGATTCGGTCCTTTGCTTCTCCGTCCTTTCTCCCTTTTATACCTCCTAGACGATCTCTTTGTGATTAACTACCCTGAAAACTGCTTGATCGTCCTGTAACTTCCCACTTTCTTTGTAGTGGCCATTTTGTCATGAAACTGCCTCTTAACTGCTGCCATTATCTTTCATCATTCAACCGCTTTCGATTGAATCCCTTGAGTCGTGGAACGTGATAATGCTACTTTAACAACTGCCTTGATAACTGCATTCCTTGATAACCACGATGCGTTATATTTGTTGATACCTTGGGTGACTTGAAGGTTTGGGCGAGAGTGGAATAACAGCTCTGGGCGACCGTATGACACCCCATTCGTTCAGATTCTGGGCGACTCGCAAACTTGGGCGATGGCGTCACCGCATTCTTGGGCCGCTTATTTGGGCCTTCACCCTGATTCGTTTGATTGGACTTCGTTCTTTGGGCTATCCGATTTGGGGATCTTTCAATTGGGCTTTATTCTTTGGGCTGTTCGATTTGGGCTGAATTTTTATGTGTCAACAATATTGAAGAAAAATGTATGGTTAAAAAATAAGAAAATATTTTAAATTTTCGTTTAATATTATTTTATTGAAAAATGCATGGTTGAAATTATATCAAAACTCCGTTGAAAAATATATTTTTCCAAAGAATGGGGCTCAAACAGAGCCATAATATAACTCATCACGAAAGGCTGTCAAAATAAAGAAAGGACATAATCGACCCAAAATTGTTATGTTCTTACCTTTGGACATTCTAAAGCCACAATATCAGAAATTATTGAAGTATTAGGAGCAAATATTTTCATAGATTCTAAATTTTGCATCGTATTTGGTGGGTCTAATATACATTCCTTGCTCTTATATGCACTAAAATCTTAAAACTGCCAAAATAACGGTTAGGTCTGGATTTTTTCGTTTTTGCTCATGGTAGTTTCTCAATTAAAACCTTAGATTATGGGTCTCAAACAGATGTCATTTTATAATTTGCTTATAAAATCTGATCCTATTTCATTGTATGAATAACTCGATTCTTTTAAAAAAGTGAATATGATAGAACGAAAAATTGAATGTTGTCGATTACGCATCCAAAGTCTCAACATTCTGCAGAATTAACGAGTTTTTTTATATCTATCTTCTGAAATTCTTAGGTAAATTAACCACCACGGGAACTAAAAACTTCTTCGTAAATTTTGTATTCTCATGCTTCCATTCGCCAAAATTCCTCCGCAAGTCTATTCTTAAACGAACCATATTACCATTCAGATTTTTGACCCACTAGTTTTGCTAGAGAGTAAACCAACCCGATCAATAATGAGCTATGCCAACCTAGCTTAATCTTCGTGCAATACACTGCTTATCTCCTCTCAAATACACCATAATAATGTACATATTCTACAACGTAAAAAATAAAAGGCTGAAGTAGCCCAGTTAAATATCTCAATTGCTACTGGGAGAAGGAAACACAAATGAGTACATTTGCATTTACATCCTACGCATGTTGTTAATTTAAAATCGAGTCATAGTCATCAGAGCTGGAAATAGTGACTACTGACTTGTTTTGACTCAAAGACATAAATATGTACATGAACCCCCACTCCCACCCCCACCTCCACCTCAACCCAACCATTAAAAGAAGGGGTAAAACTCAAGCCTACTGCGGTAAAACTTTTTTTCAGAATTTTACACCTCCCACACATGGCAAGCTAGTGACAAGTTTTCTATAAATTTTCTTTTGATTTCTGTTTTTATTATCAGAAAGGTACTTTTATCGGACCATCATGGTCCGTTATGGCCTGTTTTAGCGATGGTGACAGCACATGTGGCATGTAGTCGAATATCGGGCGTTCATATAGGTACATCGATCGCAAGCCCAACTGCTTGAATCGTCTGTGTTTCTGCTTGATGCTCCTGTCCTGGAAGATCCCTTTGCCCTTCCAACTTTCCCTTTGCTGCTGCCAGCTATGTTTTTTGAGCTTGTCGTCTTACTACAGGCTCCTTGTGGATCAACATCAGAAAGGCCATTCTCCAGTGCTCTAACTAAGTTCTCAAAGTAATTCCGAGTCACACTGTCAGTTAAGGAAAGGGAACCATCAGTAATAAAAATGGACGATATTGTTAGTAATCCCTACTAAGTTTTGTGAAACTCAATGTTGTACTTTTCTATCTTATGATAAATGCAATACGTTAGAAGACTCGGTAGTCAAGAATACTCGTGCAGAACATTTTGAATCTTAAAGCACTCCATTAGGAATGTAATTTACAAGCGGATCTCATGAAGTTACTCGACAATTTTAACATTTTTACATCGTGCTGTAAGTCTCAACATAGTTGTTTAAACAGCTCTCTGACAAAAATTTAAGGAATTCAGGACTTGGCTACTGCTCCACAAATCACACATACAATGATCAATTACTGATAAAAAAAAACACGCCTTCATCTCAGAAAATGACAACTAAAGAGTCAATTGATACTACTATCTCACTCAGCTTTCTATAAATCTGATGGGAGTGGACTGAAACCTGTTATGATGAAAGGCTAGAATAAGAATTACCTCGTCAAGCCAGCAAGTTTTGTACGGAAATCATTGAAATCCTTTGATGGACCTTCGGCATTAAGGTAATTCTGTAGCTCCTTCTCTGCACACTGATGGAGCCTTTCTAAACCAGCCTCTGCCTCACCTTTGAGTACAGTATAGAATACATTGCAATTAAATAGTGAATAATTTTTTATTTTTGAAAGGTAATCAAATATTTTATTAATCAATGCATAATACATGAGAAGTGTATTATCAATTTAAAGCAGAAAGGAACAACATAAAATTGGGCAACCCATCTATATGCCTAGTAGCTGCAGCATTAAACCATGTATACAATGTGAAATAAAACATTTCTCTAATTTGCTCTCTCTCCACATACACCATACAATGCAACTCGGAATAAGGTCTCATGCAAGCTTGCAATCCTTGTCGCGAAATTTTCTCCTTCATGCCTTTAACACGTCTTCCATATGTCTCGATATCACCCAATCCATATGTTGTGATGCCAAAATATTGTGCCACAGTAAACGAGCAGCATCACAATGGAGAAACAAGTGATCAATCGTCTCCCCGTCCCTCCGACACATATAACACCACTCTGTAACATAAAAACCTCTTGTTCATAGATTATATATCGTTAACATCTGTCCCCTGACCACCATCCAAAGTAAGAATGCAACCCGTGGAGGCAATTTACATTTCCACACCAATTTCCAGGGGAATAAACTCTGCACAAGACCCAATAAAGATCTAAAATAAGTGCCAACTGAGAAAATCTCATCCCGTGTCAATCTCCACCTACTATAGTCTGCCTCTCCTGTCCTGATGCGGACCTCATACAAAGAAGTCAAAAACAGCGCATAATCGTCTAATTCTCAATCCTGTGGCCAAAAACAATATTCCAACTGATCATCCCATTATGTATATCTAAGACATCACTCACCGTAGCAGACGGTGTCAACACAATACGAGATAAAGAGGGAAGTTTCACCTTTAGCGATTGTTCTCCACACCAACAATCATCCCAAAAACTAATGGTAGTACCATCCCCCACTGCAAAAGTCAATCTATCCTGAAAATCACTCCACCCTCGCCGAATATATCGCCATAAGCTCACCCCGTAAGAATCGTGATTCTCACCTGAGCACCATCCTCCCTCCATGACACCATATTTTGCCTCTATTATTTCTCTCCAAAAACTATCCCTCTCCACACCGAATCGCCACAACCACTTGCCCAACAAGGCCTTATTGAACAATACGATGCTCCTCAATCCAAGACCCCCTAACCTTATGGGAGAACAAACGACACTCCAATTAACCAAATGTAATTTTCTCTCCTACCCTAAACCTCCCCAAAGAAACTCCCTTTAGATCCTTTCTAACCTTTTTGCCACTACAACAGGGATAGGAAATAATGATAAGAAATAAGTAGGGAGATTCGACAATGTGGACTTTATGAGAGTAAGACGACCGCCCTTAAACAGTGAATATAATAAAACTAAACAGGCATATAGAAAATTCCAATTCAACAAGAGAACGTGATACCTTGCAAATACTCAAAAAACTGCTTTTTTGTGTGTTCATGTTCAGGCAGGTAGAATCCATAAGCATAGGTCCATTTTAACACCCTCCTACACTCAACTATCTGCAAAAATGCATATGGATAATCAGGTGATTATCTTGCCATCATTGTTGAGGTCATTATTCTTCTTATTTGCTATATAACTTGCATCATATTGGCATATCCTATGATAACAATTTACCTGACAAAACAAAACTGTAACCCATAACATACTGATTAAGTTTTATAACCATTTTTTGACACGGGTGTCTGATATTATCAAAATGGAAATCCTCTTGTTTGGGTTCTTAAAATTAAAAAAAATGCATTAAAAAAAGAAGAAGGTAAGATAGTTCTCAAGTAAGAATGCCAAATGACAATATCAGGCTCAAATGCATCACAAGGTAACATTGTCCTCATCCGGGGCTATACATATTCTACCAAGAAATCAATCTAAAAGGAAATATAAAATGCAATAAACATAACTATTTAACAACGAAATCATATGTCCTTTGACAGATTAGAAATGGGATAAAAAAATTTGGGACCTGAAAAGAAATAATAAATAAAACTTCTAAATTTCACAATAAAAGCAGTAAGAGGAACCCAATAAGAAAGGGGAGTGCTTATGACCACATTGGTAAAATTATTTGATTTGAAGTGGGAGGAGACTAATGTGAAGAGATTATTGTCCACAGTCCTCGAGTGTTCCCCTCCCCTTCCCTCGAACAGCTCCATATTACAGAATTAGCTATGTGATTCATAGAGTGATAACATATTTCAGAAACTCACAGAGAGCATAATCCCTTCAGCTCATCAATAAAATAGATAAACAATTAATACCCTAGCAAAAAAATAAATTAATTAATTAAAAAAAAAAAAAGGATTTCAGGTATGTTTACCCTCCCCCAAGCATTGATGGGTTCTCAGCATCAATAAACTAACAACAACTGAGAATGTCATTTAGCCTCATTAAATTTATAATACATTTCTCTCTGTCTCATTTTTTAACCACACATTCTCAAAAAAAATAAATAAATAAACATTATTCCAAAATTATAAAATCAAATAATGGGGGCCTACTTTTCCACAATTGTATACAGGCCAATGACATAACATCTAATGAACCACGCCGTCCTAACATTGTCCATTATTTAACGGTTGTAATAATTTTCCTTTGAAGTGGGGTTAAGGCCGGATTTGAGGAGGTTACTTCAAACAACGTAAACCATTTTGACTTTCAAAAATAAAATTGCGAGCAACCTCATCCAAGAAGAGAATTTTTTATTTTTCTTTAACATGGAAATATGACCGAACTTAGAGATAAAGCTTTACCTGTTGCCAAGCTTCTATAACGAACTTCAATTGTGACTCAGGTTGGGATTGTACTTCACTAAGCTTCTCGAGCTGCAGGAAAGAAAAAAAAAAACCCACCTCTTAGAGTTAAAATCGGAAAGTAGAAATAATATTCAATAGCAACAGCAGCGGCTGGTAAATATAGAGATATTACATTTCCATTTATTCCGTATTGCTGTTCTTGTCTTGAGACTTCTATCTGATTTTTAGTGACGTGATGTGCTTGAAAGTAAGTGGGTGATTTCTTTGTGTCACAAGCATAAACTATTTTCCATTAATATTTTAGCTTGCAACCCTATTGAATATAGAAATACCATAGTTATCAGAATCGTCTCCGTCATTGACCCAACTGAAGCTCCAAGTGATCCGATCAGTTGTTCAATCCACGGGTTAGGGCTTAATGCAAATTCAAATGATAATTTTTAAATTTGAAAAAATAATGTAGAAAATAGTACAAGTGTAGATGTTTTAAAGCATATTTAAGATAAAACCAATTATATAAAATTAGTATATAATTATCAAAGATAATCTATGAGAAATATATTAAGCCCTTGTTTGAGCCCCATTCTTTTCATAAGAATGGATTTTCGAATAGTGTATTGATGAGAAATGTATGGTTAAAAAATAAGAAAAAGTTTGAAATTTGCGTGTAATATTATTTTATTAAATAATATGTAGTTGAAATGATGTCAAAATATTGTTTAAGAATGTATTTTTTTTAAAGAATGGGGCTCAAATAGGAGCTTTTATCCTTTGATGATCAATATCTTTAAGTCATTAAAGGCAATTGATTTTAAAGATCAATTACGAAAAGATAAATAGATATTTAGCCCCTGTTTGGCCTCCATTAAAATTAAAATTCATTTTTCTCTCTTTTCTAATCAATAACACATTCTCCAATAAAATAATATTACACATAATCTCAAAAAAAATTATTGTTTTTTAACCACATATTCTTTAAAAAAAAAACTATTCCAACCATTGAAATTTCAAATAATGGGGGACAAACAGGGGCTTATTTTGTTGTTGTAGTTATTAGGTAGATTAATTACTTCGGTTGATATATTACGAATTTAAATTAGTAGCATAATGGTCAAGTTCAAAAACTAGAACGTGAAAGTTTTTAAGAGTCAATTCACAAGTTCTTCAATTTCAAAATTTTCCGAAATCAAACCAGATCAAAAACTGGTACAACCATTGAAAACCTGCTGGTTCTATCTAGATTCCACCAGTTCTTGACCGGTTCACCAGGTTCCCGGTCGTATTGGGTTTACTAACTATGAGAAATACAATTCACTTTCCCGGAATTGTATCATGGTATCAAAGTCAATTTAGAATTATAAAATGTTTTTTCCCCATAATGACTTGTTTTGCTGATTAGAGAGCATTTTTCTTGTAAGCAACCTTAATTACTGCAGTCTTTTGTTCAGTTGTTTGACAACATCTTTGCCTCTCTTGTTCACTTGTTCCAGTCAAACAGACAACTAGGTCAACCACTTCAGAGTTTATGTTATCTTCCGACAAACTTGATTTAATTTAAACATTAGATTTAATCAAAGTGATTGATTCAGTCTGACTTGATTTTAGTTGATTTGCATGAATTTTGTTAACTCCTAGTATTAAGGCTAGTTCATTAATATGATTCTTATTTCCACAATTCACAAAATCGTTAGAAATAACTCAAATTATGAGACACCCAGATATAGAGAGGATTACTAAAACTAGGAGGGTGCGAATATGAAGAATACTGGAACTTTAATAACAACCCCTGAATAAACATGTTCAACAATACAACAGATTTATCCTTTGGAAATCAACAATAAATCTAAGTCAAAACTAAAAGTACTATCATTAAAATGAACGGTCGTGGCATTTAAATCATCATCATGCAAAATACTCCTAGAATAACATCCTGATTCAACATATAACAGCATAAGAAAATCTTACATGAATACTTTGCATTTGATGCAGATCCGCCAATGCCTTTTGCCTTGACTGCATTAGATGAACTAAAAGTCGATAGTTGCAATAAAGGAATAGAAAGACTAACGAATGCTAATGAATAATTGCAATGTAACATGTGCAGCTATATATATTCAACCAAGGGCTTCTACTAAAGAGGAGTTAAAAGACACAGAAAGCTCAATTGTATCAAACAAAAGAAAACAAAATGCAAATAAAAGGTAGACCTAGGCATGAATAAGAATTACGATTAAAATGATGTTAAAACTGAAAGGAAATTTACAAACAACAGAACACTCATCCAAAACTCGCTACGGATACTAAGAAGACAGAGAGTGGCATCATTCAAGGACAAGGAACCCCTTAGCCTACGCTTTCACAGTTGCTATAAGTTCACATAAATCACAACATCCAACTCTCTTCAATGCGATAGGCCCAGAGCTTAAACAGCAGTTTTACTTTTCTACGTTATAGTCCAACAAATAATTCTCTAATCCACATTGATTTCTCACTAACATGATCTCATTTTTTCACTAATAAAAGCAATCAAGTAAAACAAGGTTTCATGATCCTGGGAAACTCTTTTGGTGTTTGTTCTTTAAATTCTCATCTCAATTTTAAATTTCATATCCAATTGTCTCTACTTCTGACAAAGTTTTTGCAATTGCTTGATTATCTTTTTCATCAAATTGGTTGCACAGTAATCTGTGTTTCCAATTTTTGATTATTTTCACAACGGGCACTAGATGAGATGCACACATATGGAACTCGGATACAATTTCAGCTAATTATACTCGATCGCGAAATAGCGTGTTAGGACTAGAACTGTTTAACTAGTTTCATTTTCAAATAAAACAAATTCGATGTTCTCTTATATGATACAGGTATCACAGATGAAATCAAGATTAAGAAAAGAGAAACCAGATGAGAAGACAAAGTAGAGCATACAGATTGGTTGGAAGCCCATCGCTCGTAGTAATGGGTATATCTTTCCAAAGAGTTCTTGGCCATCTCTCTTCTCCGCTCAGCTTCATCGTACTGATATCAAAAAGTTGATATGCAGGGGGGAATATGATTTATTCTCCATATTTGACAGCAAATTGTAATACAAGTTATCAAAAAAAGATTACTACATCCCTAATTCCATACCACTCCCTCTTGCTTTGCTGCCTCGTACCGGTTGCATGCATAGAAACCTCCAGTCCTCTCACCATGGTCCGACCACGCACCTAGACATAGCCTGCAAAGCAGTTGACCAAGTTAATGACAGAATACACAAGTTCAAATCGTAAAGCAGTAAGTGATGGAAATGGGGGTGACATAATTTCCATAATCTAGTCAAGAGATTCTGCATATGCACAGGCAAAAAAAACCATAATATCCAGCCAGTTTGATTTAACAGTTTATTAAAAAAGCTTACCAGCAAAATTCAAATTTGCAGGGTGGTGTGCAAGTCATATGCATACAGCCTTGGTGCTTTTCAATTGGTCGCTTGCACTTAGGACAAGGCTTGGAATTGGCCAATATCCTAAAAATAACAAAAAATTCATTAACACGAGCAATAAGATAATAAGATACTACAAATGTCATTTGTCAGTCTTTCCTATTAAAAAAATTAAAAAAATCACAAGTAGCAGCTTTTAAACAATTTAGATCCTGATAATGGAAGAATTTACATACTTTGTGTTAGTAGTACAACAATGCTCCATCATACAGCAGATTAGACTGGGATATGCAAGGACAATGAAATTATTATTTTTTTTTTATAAGTAATCAAGTAATTTTATTAATAGATAATACATGGGGGGTGTATTATCAATTTAAACAGGAAATAAACGACATAAAGTTTGGTAGCCCTTCTACATAATTTGTGGCTGCAGCCTTAAACCAAATATACAAAGTCATATAGAACCATTCTTTAATTTGCTCAATTGTTCTTGCTTGGTCTTCAAAACAACGACTGTTCCTTTTTTTCCATACACACCACACAATGCATCCCAGAATAAGATTCCACGCAAGACTACTATCCTCATCTCGGAATTTTCTCTTCCATGCCCGCAACACATTCTCCATACGCCTAGACATCACCCAATCCATATGTTGAGAAGTTAGAATAGTGTTCCACAACCACCGGCCACCTTCAAAATGAAGGAACAAATGGTCATTCATTTCTTCGTCTCTCTTGCACATATAACACCATTCGGTAACGTAAAAACCATTTCTACGAAGATTATCCACCGTTAATGTCTGCCCCCTTACAATCGTCCATAACAAGAAAGCCACTCGTGGGGGCAATTTACATTGCCACACAATCTTCCAAGGAAATGAACTCTTCGTCGATCCCAATATGGATCTAAAATAAGTGCAAACTGAGAAAATACCATCCCATACCAGCTTCCATCTTTTCCTATCATCTTCTCCCACTTGAATATGCACCTCGTGCAAGGAGATCAAAAACAGTGCATAATCATCCAGTTCCCAATCCTGCAAACCCCTCTCGAAGGCAATATTCCAGCTATAATTTTCATTATGTATGGCTAGGACATCATTCACCATAGCGGTAGCCTTCAAGGCAATGCGATGCAAAGAAGGAAACTGTGCCTTTAGCGGATGATCTCCACACCAACAATCATCCCAAAATTTGATACTATTGTCATTCCCCGTCACATAAGTCAATTTCTCTCGAAAGTCATTCCATCCTCGTCGGATATACTTCCACAAACTCACCCCATAAGATTCGCGACCATCAATCGACAAGTACAATGAAATTATAATATTCAGCAATAGCAAAATGAACATCACCTCATCAACCATGCAAAGTTATTAAATCAAAACCTCTGCTAAATCATGACACCTGCTATTAGACTGTACACCAACTAGAAACTATGGACCAGCAACTAATCAATGAAGGAGACATGCAACAGCAACCTTTTTTAAGTCCAAAATGTAAATGATGGAGAATGAAGATAAGAATAAAAAGATATCTTGGTAGATTAGGAATAAATATAGTTTTATTTGAATTAGTTTATTTTAGTTTATTATTATTATTATTATTCTACATTGACTAGAATCAGGTTTATTTCCTTAGTTTCCTACTTAGATTAGTTTGTTTAAACTCTATATAAGGAGGGTCCTTGCAATGTAATAGTTGAACTTGATTATTGAATAAACTCATATTTATCCTCTAATTTCTCTTGATTCTCACCCCATTCTTGTCTATTTCTCTCCCTATGTTCTCAAGTCTCGGTTTTGTACTACATCAGTAACTTTCGTAGCCTTATTGAGATTTACTTTGTTTTGTTCTCAAGGCTACATACCAAAAGTAGCGGCTAATCCATCTAGGTGGCAGCTGGGATAATTAAGCGCAGACAAGGGGCTTTGGTTGGACAAAACTGCCTTTGGCAGGGGATGAAGGCAAAAAAAGTGGCCAAGGCATTTTGCAAGATTTCTGGAATCTTCTAAACGCAAAACCACTGTTTTAAAGGCTAAAAATCTGTGGATAAATCATCTGCCAGTTTTCAGATTCATCAAAGGCTGCTTTGAAGAAAGTAGGAAACCTAATGTTGCATAAAGCAAAAAGCACCAGCAGAATTCAGATAGGTTTAGATCCATCCTGCCCTTAATTTCAATTGTATCTGCATATCTTGGCCTATAAATAGGCTAGTATAATTCATTTGTAAACATAGAGTGGAATTAGAAAAACACTTCTGTGATTGTAAGATTTTCCTTCGAGTTATAAAAAGGCAGAATTCACCCAAACTTTGCCCATCGGTAACCACACAAGACATGAAAATATTTTAATTAAAAATTCCGTAGGCAATCAACTTCAGCAAACAGTTAGTAAGGCAGCTAGTTCAAGGCAAAGAAATTTAAAAGATTCAGTGCCGAGTTCCTAATTTAGCAAGTGAATGTACATTTACTGTCTAGAGAACATCGACACGTTATATCTCCAATTTCGTCCCAAAAAAAGGCCTTTTTGAAAACAAACATTTGCAGAGCACCTCTGTTCCTGATTTGTTTAAACTTGATGTTAATGACATCACATTTAGCAATTACTAAAGAACTAGACCAAAATAGCTAATCTCGTAAAAGAACTCATCTGGGTCAGCAAATACTCTACCAATTCATGTTTTCTGACTCAGCACTGTTTTTCAAAATCCATTTGGCCACAGTTTCGCAGTCCACAGGACGATGAGCTTCCTCTGTACACTAATGGACCAGCACACAATGATTGGCACACATCAAAACACAGAAAACAAAGATGACAACCAATAATTCGTACTAGAACGAAGGGCTTACGCTCCAACAGAAGCTGTAAGAACAACTGCAAGTGACATCATAGCTTCCACTCCCAACAATGTATTCAACAGCAGAATCACAACCAGGGGCAGGACACCACTTGGTCTGTAACCATGTACAAAAGGTTCTTTAGTTCTCTGAAATGCAAGATAATCAGCATGCCAAGGCAAATAGGCTACAGCAGAAGAAACCAATGATCTGATTGAAGATATTATCATATAGTTATATTACCATTCAGGTCATTGTCAAACATCAATCCCCCACCCCCAAAAAAAAAAAAAACTGGGGGGGGGGGTTGGGGGGCGGGGGGGGGGGGAGAAAGAATCACAGAGACAGAGGGAAGAAAAAGAGAGGAAAAATGGGGCTATGGCCAACTTTTTATTCAATCAATTCATCATCCCAATTACAATGTAAAATAGACTGAAATACTGAAAATACTACAAACCTAAAAATCTAAAAGATAGGGGCTAAGCCCATTACACAAGTCCATAAAAATAAAATAACTCAAGTCCAACTAAGAAATAAAAGTCCAACTAAAATAATTAAATATCGTCCAACTAAAGTAATAAAACTGGGATGTCATCATCAATAAGGCTCCCCCACAAAGGGTTGCTAGACCTTCTAAGCCGTTCCTACAAATAACTGGCTTCCGTCCTAATAAAATCAACATCCAATGCATATATCATGCATGTAGCATTTGAAGTTTAAAAAGAATGTTCATGCGCATGCTAGTGTAAAATGTTTGTTCTGTAACAGAGACTGGGAACAAAACAATGCAATTAAATATATAATATTCTCATCAGCAAAACCATATACCACCTGTCTATATCTTTTCCTTACGAGAAAACCAATAACAATATACATTTTCAGAACTAACATACTCTCTTTTAATTACAAGGTCATCAAAACAATCTAATGTCCACATGCACAGACAAGCGCACAGAACTCATGCAGTGTGTGATATGTACAAGGTCAGAAAATAGCAGAAAAGTTGCAAAGACCAAGTTCTGTGTAACCCATATTAAGGAGAAACAGGTGAATCATACAGTGCACAGATGTGAAATTTTAACATCAATCTCGACGCCCCAACCCCCAACAAAAGAAACACCATAGCAACCTACTTCTCAAAAATAATCTACTACTGGGATTTTTGTGAAATGACAGTTTACTTTCTCCAAGAAAATTGCAGCCATCACAAGCTAGAAGATAGATATTTGAAAAACTGATACAATGTAAAATCCCAAAATTTTTATGGAACCTTTTCATAATTTTGAAAAGTTTTAAGTGACTAAAGTAAAATTTATATTAAATTCTTAAATTTTTTTGGATCAAATAATTAGATTTTGATAAACCGAGTTTTAATATATCAATATTAAACTTTTTTGTAACTTGCAATTAATTAAAATGTTAGACTTGAGAAAAATTTTATTAAGATAAGTTAGACCCTAGATATTTAAGTTTAAAAAAGTTATTAATTGTTAGTATTGAATTAAATTGGTTGTTGATTTTAAAGTTGTTGATGGCCACATGTATGGATAATTTTTTATTTTGATTAGGATCGAAAAAAGAGATAATTGTAATTTTAATTTTGACCATGGTTAATTGAAATCCTAATTTGATTAAAATTTCATTACTTTTCATTACTTCAATTCTAACACTAGCATATTAAGTCAAATGGAACCAATTTCAAATTAACTTCTACATTTCCTATTTTGATATAAATTCAATTAGAAGATTAGGACTGGTTGATTATTTTAATTAGAAAAACCATTAATACGATATAATAGTAATTCTATTATTTGAAACCAAATCTTATCAAATTCCTAGTATTACACGATTTTCCAATTTTAGTTGCATACAAATTCAATGGTTAATTTCAACTATCATTATTTCATCACGGAAAATATAGAGAGCCATGGCAGAGAGAGAGACAATGAGTGGAAATGTATTAAAAAATCATATGAGAATTTTTACGCACAAGACTTTATCTTTGTTTCAACCTTTTCAATAACGAGATAAGATACTCGTGTGCAACTAGCTTGTTTACATATACCTTTATGGATTTAGTCATTTATGCATAAATTGCAAGTTGACCTTCGGATTCTTTATAAAGAGATATGAAATCCTTCGAGAATTTAATATAACCTAAGATGGATGTATCGCTTAGTCACCGTATACTCTATAAGAGAAGGGTGATATGAAATGTTTAAATTGATTGTTATATAATTGCGTATGAAAACTGCACGTATCTTATCAGGTGTTTTTAAATATTCACTCTTACAATAATTTTATAGGTTAGTGCAAGTCTGTTGGGTCTGTGGCAGTAAGATGATGCGGGCTGTCAAGTGGATTGAAGAAAAAGGAAAAATAAACATTAAATTTTTCCGTCTTTAAATTTATTAGTTATTTTAATTTGTTCAAAAATATGTTATTTAATTAGTTAATTGATTGTGTTTATTTTTTTAAAGATACAATTTCCATGATCTAATTTAAGTTATGAATATTCCGGTTATTTTTTTTACTAAAGAATTTTATTTTATCGTTCCGCCTTTAATGTAAAGAAAAGCAAATTTTTGGTAACACTTCAAGATTTATGAAAATTTAAGGCGTTACATACAGCACTTACAGTTGAAAATTATATATGGACAAAATTGTAACAGATCCACAAAGGATATAACTACCTTTCGACTATCTTCAACATAAGATCTAATAAGGTAACGACAATACTTCTCCCTATCTCCATCTGGTGCCAACATATTAATCATATCTTGACCAATGGCAGCATTACAAGATGGATCCGGACACCTCAACGTCAAGCAACCAGGGCCATCATTGATGGACGTGCAAATGTAAGCTGCCAGAACAAATGCGCAAATAAATCAAGATAAATTAATTGTTCAGATCAAAGATATATGGGAGGTGCAAGGAAGACGGGAAATGGATATGTTCAGGAATGAGGGTTACTTGTTGGCTGCCAAAACATGCCTAACATAAGCACTTTGCCTCATAGAAAGTTCTCCAACTTTTTAACAGGTACCTAAATCCCAATCATAAAATATCCAACAGATCCTTCATGACAACCATATTCCCAACAAAAACCTCCCCCCACCTCCAGCCCTTGAACAGAAGGAAAGACGATAATTAATTCCACCATTTAATACCCCATAATGAACCAAAACAAGCTATCCCCACAGCAGTTGAAAAAATACTTACAAAGAAATGATGCAATCAGGAAACATGATTTCTCGTAAAGCCACTAACATCTGCCATCAATGCCGTTAAACATCGACCAACAGATATAGGCCATAACCCAAATGCAAAAGACCCAACTAACTTCAACAGAAAACCAGTCAGCATCATGCTAATCGAAGTGTACCACGGAGTTACAAACCTTTCCAGCATGTGTCACAGAAAGGATGACCACATGCAGCAGTACATATCTGCTCCGGTGAGAAGTTCTCAAAACAGATCCCACAAGTTACCTGCCAAGGAAGATACAGAACAAGCATATAATGATGAAACCAAGCTCAGAAGAGATCAAAAAGTCAAGACTATAATCGATAAGTTACTTGTTTAGCATTCGAAAATTGAACCAGTGGCTTCTCCAATAAGCCAACAGAATCGCGAACTCTTTCTTCATCAGCAAACCATTCTTCATGCACATCATTCACGCTCCTAAATATTCAAATATTCAGATATACAGTCAAATGAGGCAAAAGAAACACCAATGAAAGGTATTATATACAGAAAACATTAGCCATAGGCTCATAATGTTTACACAAATCGCTCAAACAAAATTATCAAACTGACACAATCAGATAGGTATTGATGTGAGAATTATAGATAGATTTCAGTTGTTTGGCAAAATCAAGAGGTCAAATAGATTACCACTTAAAGCGGCGCAAAAGTATACATGCGGCATCTCTTGAAACGGAAAGAACGGTAGAAATTCTTGTGATATCTTCCTCCTGACGCTGACGTATATCTTCGTCCTTCAAGATGGTGCAATTTTTCTGGAACATAAATTTAACATGTAAATCCAATGGAAACAAATAAAGACAGTGAAATAAACAAATTCACTACTAGCTAGTCATACACTACACAGTCCCATTTTACATCCTGCCTCAAAATTGCAAACATAGTTTTTCTTATGGAGAATGATATTCTTATAATCTAACAAGGAACTGACTAATGGAAGAAAATTTAGATTGTTTCACATAGAAGTTACAAGAAACGTCACATAAACGATGAAGATCTCACCACCATACTGGCCACGGAAATCATCAAGGCTTGAACTTAAAAACCATAAAATGAAATAATGAACAGATACTAGAAATCCATTGCATTAATCGACCATATACATCCATTTTTTAGTTTTCGCTTTCCTTTTTTATTCTCTGTCCAAGTTTCCAAGATCATTACTTCACCATTACAACATTGACAAACTCTTCACAATTAATTTATCCATCACCGCCAACATCAGGCTTCCTGTCATCTTATCTACTTTCTCATCACTCAGCTTCTCGCCAAGATTCGCTATCACATGGCGCAGCTCAGCGGCAGAGATGAAACCTTTCTGATCGCTGAAACGATTCTGATCCTTGTCAAAATGCCAAATGCCTATTTAAGATCCTCCTCAGAATCAGTATCCTACATTTCCTAGCCATGAGGTTCAAAAACTTTATAAAGTCAATGGTTCCATTACCATCAGCATCAAGCCATTAACTTCATTGATTTCCTTGAGCTCAGCTTCTGTTGGATTCTGCCACTAGGATCTCATTACAATACTAAGCTCTGCGATATAATGCCCACTGACATCTTTGTTGAAAAGGCAGAAGGCCTTCTCAAACTCAGAGATTTGGCTAACTCGGACATTTCTTCTCCACAATATCTTCTGTTCTTTCAAGCAGCAATGGCATTTTATTTTTTTAAGAAATGCAAGAGAGATAATTCTAGAAATGAGATCAAATATTCAAAAATAATTTGCTTTTCACTGTTCTTAATTATAAACTGTATTCAATATATTAAGCAAAAGCTCTACTCTACTTTATTTGGCTCCACCAAATATGCAATATAACGCTGTAACAGTATAGAGGTTGCGGTTTTTAGCATGAAATTTGGAGCTTTGAATTGACATAGTCAAATCCAATCCAATTTTGAAATTTATTTCTCCAACTCCAGAAAGAAACCAGCATAAGATGAATGCGTTTGTTGAGCAGCATTGGTTCCATTAATTTAATTTAACGCCAACAAATGTCAGAACCACATGAGAGAGAATCGGAAATCAAAATTTTATCTCTTAACCCTCCATTCTAACCAAATTACATTCATCTGGCCAAAGTTATTGATTGAATAGTCACTACTCCTTAAATGAACCCGTTCATAGCTAATAGCTAAACAAACTCAGCTGTCACAGATAGTGTTTAGACTATGTTAACACAATTCAGCTTGCTTATTGTATATTTCTACAAAAGCATTACCGTCAACAGCATTCCACAATAAATACAAGCTTAACATTCTAAAATTGATCGGAACTAAAATTCAAATAACATTGATATTCAACATACTGGACTGGCATACTTTAATGTGATCAGAAATAATACATATGAAGACCAAAAGACTTCTTTTTTTCCGAGAATAACAAAGCCATTAAGCTTTAGACTTTTCAGTGATATTCACAGTTGTATATAACTTAAATGGTTAACCCCTTGAAAACTATAAACTTATTGATGCAAGAACACTAAATGATAGCTGACCCACAAAAGAAACATAAATTTCAATTACAATGACATTGTCCCACATTAACAAAGGTTGATCGTGAACAGATGCAGTAGCCCGAGGAAATTTGAGGAATTCAAAGCCAATATAAATACAGAAATGGTAAAATATTGGGAATTCACACACCTGTAAGCGACTAACAGGAACGTCATCGGACTCATTGGCCATAAAGTCAAAATCTTCAGAGTCATCCTCCTCCTCGCCCTCAACCTCACCGTAGCTGTAGTTATAGTCCTCCTCCTCCTCACCGCCGCTGTAGTAATCATCTTCCTCCTCCATCGAAGCCACGTCATTAGCATCGTGCATATCATCATCCGACTCCATCGGCAACAAAAATAAATTAAACCCTAGAACGGGTAGAGAATTTTAAAAAAATATCGGCTTGTCGATAACAATTGATCGAAGAAGATGACTCAATTCAGTCAGAAATTGATTTGATCCATCGATCGGTCAATAATCCATCGATCGATCTATTGATCAATCACTTCTTGTTTAGGCTTTTTTGTTGGTGACGAAGAGCACAGGATTTAAGGCTCACTGAAGCTTTGAGAAGGTGGAGCCTTAGGAGTGGGGTTTAATCATTAATGGGTCATGATGTCAACAGGATGACATGGGAAGGAAAGGTCACCCTAGATGAAGTCTTTGATGGTAAATCACCCAAGTTTTATTAAAATTCCAAATTCATCATTGAATTGGGAGCATCAGATTCAGAGTAGTAATCCTCTGTTTGACGGTCATTATTTTGAAAAAAATAATAATAATAAATGATTTTTTAAATAGTGATTTTCACAAATGTGTGATTAAAATGGCAAAAAAAAAAAAAATTGAGTTTAAGTATAAAATATTTTATTACGTGAACGTATGATTAAAATGAATATGAAAATTAAAGAGTTTTATTTTTTTTTAAAGCATACAAACAAGGAGCTTAACTACAGAAATTTAAGTTATGTGCATATAAGTTTGAACTTCTTTGTAGCCGCTTCGAGAATATTCTACATTAGATTGGTATATCTCGAAATATTATCTTTGTAGCCGCTTTTAGAATATTCTACATTAGGTTGGTATATCAAAAATATTTCGAGTAATATTTTCTATGATACTCGAATAAGAAATGAATTATTGTAGAAAAGAGCAAATGTATAGAGAAAGTGTTTGTGCATCAATTTATGAAATTACTTGTCGTCAACCATACCTTATATAAGTTGTTCTCCATAAATATATTATATTGAGTAATAAATATTATTTGCAGTCGCTCAATGTCATAATCTTCCTACGTAACATACATGTAACTGTTAGTGATTTGACGTAATCAAATTGTCACATATATACCATGTAAGACGATAATAGCATTATTCTATTATATTTAAAAAGTAACTCTTGTACGAAAGCATAAACATTTTTTCTTGTAAATCCACATCTAATCTTGACTTTATTGATTTTGAATCAGTTCAAAATTAGCAGATTGTTCTGCTAAAACTTCGAGTCAAACAATGCGGTAGAAAGCAAATTGCAACTTAATACAAGTTATAATATAGCAATGAAGTCGCTCTTAGCTCGACCTCATTTCAAATGATGGATTTTCAAGCAGGAACACTTCCCTTTGAAAACCATGCATTATTTAGGGAGGGTAACCACTAAACGTAATACATGTTATCACAAAATAATCCTCTCTATAGGCATAAAGAGGATGCACTCTCACTGCTAATTTCCTTCTTCAAGTAGAGCTTCTCTGATATATCCACTGCCCCAAGCTCTCTCTTTCCAGATCCTCTCCACTTCCTCAAATGTCAAACCCTTTGTCTCGGGCACGAAAACAACCACGAACACAAAAGCGGCCACAGCGATGACAGCAAGTATCAAGAAAGTCGAACCAGTGCCAACAGCATCGGCTACTGAGAGAAAACTTTGGGCTACTATAAGATTTGATATCCAGTTCACAGTAGCCGACATACCTCCACACATTCCTCGGTACGCCTCAGGATATATCTCCGAGTTCACGGTCCATGGCACGGGCCCCATTCCAGGAGAGAAGAAAGCTATATAAAGAGCCAAACCCACAACCGCCATCCAACCGTAGAGCCCATTCACGGAAGAAGTAGACGGTTCCAAGATAAATGCTACAGCGAGAACAATGAGAGAGATTATTACACCCGACAAGCTGCTAAGGGCCAATTTCCGTCGACCAAAGTGGTCGATAAGATGTATTCCCACAACTGTACCAGCAGCATTCATGGCTGCGACGATGAGGGAGAGGAGAAGTGCGAGTTGATTGGAACTGAAGCCAGCCATCTGCACAATGGTTGGGCTGTAGTACATAACTGTGTTGATACCTGTGAACTGCTGGAATGCCTGCAAATACAAAGTCGGACGTTGTACTGTAATCAATGTAACGAAGTTTGTTTCCATGTTTATCACGATCCTACGTAATCGAGTATTCAATGAAATGGAGATTCTGTAAGTCATATATCCAAAAATAGAAAGGTCGGTGCTGTCCCCTCATTCAAACCTTAATATAACTTAATCATAAGAGAAGACAAAAACAAACTTAAAAGGTAGATAAAAGATGGGAAAGCTTTTCTTCAAAATTTGAACCCAAATTCATCACTAGTAGAGGAAATGTGAAAAGCAGATGAGGGGGCTCATATAAAGCCCCTGTTTGAGCCCCCTTTTTTGGGGCTAAAATGCATTTTGGAATAGTATTTTGCTAAAGAATTTGTGGTTAAAAAATAAAGAAAAATTTTGAGTTTACATGTAAAATTATTTTATTGGAAAATGTGGAGTTGAAAGTGAGTTCTTGGAAAAGGGGGGCCAAACATAGGCAAAATTTTGAAAGCTACCTGAAGTCCAGCTCCAGCAAAAAATGCAAGTCTTATTTCTTTCACTTTAAAAACATCAGAATATCGGACCGCAATCTTCCTCTGGCGCTCTTCCTCAAGTGCAGCAGCAAGCAGATCGATCTCAACTTCCAAGCGATAAGGATCATAAATTTTTGAGAGCACAACAATGGCTTGAGATTTATCCTTCTGCAAGAATTATTGCCGAGTCAATACGAGGAAAGATAAAATATCTGATAACATGTTCCAACACACAATTATCCAAAGCAAGCAAAGAATTTTTGCACCTTCAGGTAAAGCCAGCGAGGAGATTCCGGCAAAAATAGCATAAAGAAAAATTGAAGAATGGCAGGCACTGCAGATACTCCAAGCATCCATCGCCATGTACCAGGAACCTGCTCACCCATTTAAATGGAAAAAAAAAAAAAAATCACAAAAAGTACAAAAGAAATATTTAATGCATTTATGCCTACCCTAATCGGTGCAAAATAGCATTTAGAAACAAATCATTTTTTGACTAATATCAATTCACCAATTACCAAAAGGGCAATACCAAAAAGCTGGAAGCCTACAGAAACTATAAAACTCGTACTAGAAACTGTTAGGACATAAAAAATATTCATCACTGTGTATGGATAAACCTTTAGCCTTCTATATTGAAAAGGGCACAATAGCTAATATATATTGCATATTTACACACCACCCAGGAGAATAGTGCTCATTAGCTCAAACAAACTAATTATTTTAAAATTCAGGGATATTAATGAATTAAAGAGAAGTTTCCAATAACTTCTGTATATTTCTGACAAGTTGAATTAAAATGTATTGCAACCAGTTTTACCCAACACGATATGAATAAAGCACGACAAGAAAAGGAGGAACACAAAAATATGCCATAGTTTGGTAGCCTTCTCATTGACCACGTTTTCAACTTCTAAGCCTCCAATGTAAGCTAACATGCCCATACATATATGTTAACTTATATTATCAATCAATACTGAGTCCAAAACAATAACATCATACGAATATTGGAGGAAAGGAAACATGGAAAGCTTAAGCTAACATGTTCCCATGTATATGTTCGCTATTATTTTTTATTAGCCCAGTGACCTAATGGATAACATAGTGACTTGAACATTGGAGAAAAAGAAATATGGATGAAAACGATACAATACACCAATTAACTGACATGGGCAATCGACCAAATATATCAGGGGCAGGAGAAAGCAGCCTAAGAGACCTCCCAATTACTCGTTCCAGCCTAAAATCCGAAGCAGGGATCCTTCTGGATTTCCCCATATCTATAATTAAAGGTGAAAATGCTCAGCATCCGTTAAACAAATTCAAGACTTTAACCAATAGTTTAATATAACCGGAGAGTATATATGACAACATATGAATACAAATAAAAGTAACATTCAGCAAGAATCAGAGAAGAAGAGATGTAAAAGTTCATCATAACCACAAACAAGATTGAGCACACCGAGCAGCAACATGCCAAATTCCACCAAAACAAACTACAAATATTAGTGGTAAGAAAAGAACAGAATGATTTCCTTTGGCGATGTTACTGATTGTAAAAACTTATAATGCAATCCCAAAATTCTATCTTGATGCTGCTCGCCTGTACTGCACAATGGAAACCTTTCATGCCAATGAAGCAATGTAATAAGCATGAGCAAATAAAAATCATTATGCATATAGAATCAATAGATGCAGATATATCTTTCGCATGTGAAGTCAATTGATTTTGATGCTTCCAATCATTCTCCGAGCCGTCCGAAGAGAGGCTAGCAAGAAAGGGCTTACAGGACAAACACGAAAAGTATTACTTTCAAAAGATGATTTTTATTTGAATAAATAATTCAAACTGAAACTCTAATGTCCACTGATATATAGTCAGTCACTTATGGTTACACTTGGTTACATAAACCTAAATTGAAAAATGCTCATATTATCTCAAAAATTATTGGCTTCTCAACCAAACCCCCCCCCCCCCCCCAAAAAACAAAAAAAAAAAAAAAAAAAAAAAAAA